GTTCGGAATGAATGTAGATCTCTTCAGAATTGTTTTTTCTGGTAAGTTTCAATGTTTGTACCCACTTGTCCTGGATAGCTATTCATTGGAAGGCTTCTGTCTCCGGAAAAATCCCCTTGCTGAGCCATGCGTCGACGCATGAGATGTCGACTTCTGGTTTACTTAGCTCGTGGAGTACCTTCCATGCAGGCCTTCGCTTTCCATAAATCTCTCCTCTTAAAGAGGCATGGAAATTGGGATGCGGAAAACGGCCAAGGCTGTAAAAAAACGCTAAATAGATAGATAGATATTTCGGGTTTCCGGCCGCGTCATCGCTTATGATTGTTAGTCATGTAATTGTAGTGCATGTTTGATCACGAGAAGTGGTGGTGTTCTTCCTCCGCTGGATGGTGAGTTAGGTGCCGACCTACTCGGCTTTTGAGTTTTCGCCTCAATCAGGTATTTCCCTCCAGCCGGGCCGTCTGTGGATTTTAATCCTGGTCTATAACAACCATACAATTGTGCTCACGCAGAGATTAAAACACATTTCTAGCAAACTAAACAGAAATTTATGAATTCAGATGAAAGGTTCAGTATCCTTAGCCGCGCACCCTGCCGAAAAAATCCTAATAGCATGCTGCTCCCCCAACGTCCAGTACCCCCAATCTTCCTCAAGCTTACATTGCCTTGAATGCACCAGCTACGGATGGACTCCGGAATTCCACAATGCTACTAACTTCTACCTATTCCATACACTTTTATCCTTCGCATAATCGGGTACATAAACTAAATTTGTACTAAAAATTGCGGTGGTGGTATGCACTAATTAAACGAGTCAATTTATTGCAAGTGTAATACTTTCAACAACTTTTCCTGAGATTGTTTTTTGAGGTGGAAGGCGTTCCTCTAGAGCCCTTAAGGAGCAGCCACAACTGGACAGCAGTTAGGTGGCGGGTGGCGAACATCGTCCCTCCGGGTGTAATAACCGTTTTGTGTTTTAATTTTTTCCCCTCTCAGTCTGACCGACGGTTCACACACTGACTAACCGCTTCAAAAACTGTCTGCTTCTTGTGCGATTTTGTTCGCTCAGGTACAACAAATTCAACTGCACCATTGGCTTAAGCTTTCTCGATCACTTCAGAAAGTCGACTTTGCGCCTTGATTTGAGTTTCATCTTCGTATCTTCAGCCGTCTTTGTAACTTCAGCAGGTCTCGCATCAATGTGCACTTGGTGTGCAATTATATGGTTTTCCCGGTACTCTTGTTGCTGGTCGAGTTCTTTCAGTTTCAAAGTTAACTCACCGATGGACGTGTCTCAGCAAAGCCCCGCTTCCTACTTCCGATGCCCTTAGTTTCTAATTTTGCATTTGTGTCAAGTATTAAATGCAGTGCCAACCGCTGTGAATGCTCCAGGGCTGGGATTCGGCTCTATTGCAGCATTTACTAACAACAGCCAATGAAGACGGGCCTGAGTTCGTCGCTTGCTTACTCACGCCCGCGCAACTTGCAGCGACTAAAAGCGATAATTGTTGCGATCAGCCTGAAGTCTCGCGAACGAGCACCCAGAACAATGCTAGGATGCAGGCCGTTTCACTTATCCTCCGAAAGGTACGGACGACACGTCTTCTGTATACGACAGATATGGTGTGGTATTGGTTACATACCAGCGATGTGGTACCACACGGCACGGAGCGCTGCCTTAACCGGGCAACAATGTTACTGTTACCTCCACAGTGAGTCTGACGGGAATGTCCCGAGTGGGCCGTTAGGTGTATTTTCAACACTACCCAAATAGCTAGGTCGATTACAGCCGCTTCCTGGCGGGAATTCTAGTGGCCATCTACTATGAGTGGTAATTATACGTGGTTTCTTCGAGCAATTTCGGGTGAAAGCCCAACAAGACCCTAACAAACGCCCCACGGACTGCGCGTGATCTTGTCTTCCCCTTTTTTGGCATATCCTCCTCCTTTACTTACACACACTTACACTTCCATGCACAACAGTACCACAGATGTCGAGAGACCAATCGCGAGCTTCGAATTTTCCTTGACTAAGGTGATTACTATAGGAGATTAGTAGGACCTTACTGTAGGAGATTCCTGGAGGGAAAAATTCCCGCAAGTCGACTCTCATGTTGAAGCGGGAAAGAGACTTCGGTGAAAGCAGCACCGCAATCTCCGAGGATATGTCATGCATTACATTTACGGACCATAGCAGTTGATGCGCTCTGCAATACAAAATAAACAATCGGCCTCCAAAGCGTTAAATGCAATGCCCTTTGCATTTCCAAAATTAAATTGGATTGTCGCAGCACATTGATAGCCGCCCTTAAATACTCTACCACAACATTGAAAGTTTTGCCACAATCCGGGTTTCGAAAATCATTAAAAAAACTATACAGAGCTATAAGAGATGTAAACTAAACATTGTTACTGTAATTTTTATTTATACACGAGGTTATCCCGTTGTGGAAATACGTAATCACATCAGCGTCAGCGAAGAACAATGACATGTGCCATGGTGACCAAACTTTGTATATATACGTCAGATGGGGCCGTCATATCGACGTTTATAAAGGGAAACACTATACCAAGCGATGAACCTGAGGAACCGATGAAAGAAAGCTTAGGTTTGTGAATGAGCGGCACTATGTGTGTGTCTGTACACATTATCGTGCAACTGATGTATTATACTATTAGATAGATACTATACTGAAACCCAACGAGGCGTGTGGCTGGAACGGGAATGGGAGTTTCAACAATAATAGACATAACATTGCAGTAATAAACATTTACTCACTAAAATGATGATGATGATGATGGTGATGATTTCCATGAATTACGAAAACAACAAACACGACCCTTTCTTTTCAGAACATTTGCCATCTGTTAAGCTCCATACAAAATAAAGCAATGGGTCGTCAAAAATATTTTTTTTTGCTGAAGGCGCCCTCTCCCCCCCGCTTCGCTCAGCAAGTGTTCGATCGCATTCATGCGGGAGCTAAGCGGATTATTACTCTCGTTTTTCTGTCAGCGGGCATCACAGCACGCCCGGTGGTGGAGTCGTCGGCCTGCGTTCTGGAGCGGGTCGCCCCCTTCCAGGCAGCTGCGGTAAACACAGGGCGGATCCCAGCGTGACCGTCTGACGTCGCCGCACTTCCTAGGGTCCACACCTTAAACCAGCGTCACCAACCTCTGGCAGCAACGGTGTTCATCGGCGATGGTTGATTGGAAGCCAATCAACTTCCATATCAGCAGTCGCGGACGAATGTCATAACGCGATAAATTGACTTTAGGCGCGAGACTGCATTTTTTCGCCTGAATTTCTGGCAGAGTGCGCGAGGGGTCAACTTCCCTCCGAAAGAGGCTTCGAATGCTAAGTGAGGTCAAGTGAGCAAGCAAAATGAAGTTAATAACTTGAGTTTCAGTCAATGCCTTACTGAACTCAAGTGAATTCTCGTAACCAAGTAGCAGATCGAGTGACTTCTCGTGGCCGAGCTAAGAAATCGAATGCCTACTCGTGGCCGAGCTAAGAAATTCAATGCCCTCAGAGCGGCGGCATGGTATCAGCAAACTTCGGTACCCCCTCCCTCAAACAGAGTGGATCCTCCCGATACGTGGGGTTGAATTTCGCGGAGCAGTGTGGAGGTGTGTTTCTAACCAATCAAACGAGAACCCTTTTCTCAACGGCCAGAATGTCCGTTGCAGGTATAAAAAAAATCTTCGGGCCTGTTTACTTCGGATCTGCACGTGACCATTGGGTCGTAAATTTGTCTCCCGAGAGGGCGCAATTAGCGTTGGGTCCCTTTGACGAGCGGTCGCGGGGGTGAATATGAGAAACCCACTTGACACTTGGATTCAGGACCCGGCTGCCGACAAACCCTCCTTCGGCACCGCGCGGGGGTGTCCTGCCATAAATCCCATACAACCCCTCGCCTCAATAGCCGAAAGGGCCCCTACGACCCCCTTTCGCATCTGCGTCGCGGACGTCCGCTTTTTTTATGGACATTTTTCACCGCATGAGCTTGTACCGTTACAATACGTTAGATATATTATCACGAGGCAATGCAATTTCAACTTTTTAACGCAATGAAAAAGTATTTTTTGTAAGACAGAGTTTCAGAAGCCTCTGTCTCATAGTATTGCTTTTATTATATTTCTTTGATATTTCCAAAACAGTAGATATCAAATTTCTTTTCGCAGTCGTGCAGTGATCATGATAATCTTCATCTCTCGGTTCCGAAGCAAACTTAAATCAAGTTGTATATATTAACGGCTATTATTACTCGCCATATTCCATAAAAGAACTTCGCAATTTGAAAATGTATGCAAAAATGAGTAGTAACTTTTAAAATATGAACGAATCTTTAAAATAAACAAATGACAAATGTATTTTATAACCATAAGAGACCTAGATGAGATCTATTTGATTACAGGTGGATGTGGTGAGCCACTTCCCTCAGCCTCTGCCTAACTACAGGGACTTCAGCTTGGCTGGGTCGTATCCCAGCATGGTCAACCATTGGACCTTCGAACAACTCCAGAACTTCCATTT